TAGTTACATGCATTGCGTTCTCGCTGGATTTGCGCTTTGGACTCTTGGGAATGGGCTTACGATACTTTTCGATCGGAGTACCGGCCTGGCAGTGCTCATTGTTGCGCTCATTCTGGAAGGTGCGGGCATTGGCTTAGTGCTTCAGCCCACGCTCGTTGGTATGTACGCAAACGGCCGTAGCGAAGATCGCGCTGTAACAACAGGGTTGCGCAACTTTATTCGCACCATTGGCGGAGCATTTGGTCTTGTAATTTCTGGAGTCATCCTGTCGAACACACTCAGTCGTCACTTGTCGCAACGAGGCTTCGTATCAGAAAGTCTGATGAGTCAGTTGACTTCCTCGACTTATAACCTCGACGGCTTTGGTCTCACAAAAGACCAGCAAGATGTCGTTTTCGATGTCTATATGCTAGGTCTGCATTACATATTTGTTTTCTTTACAGCATGCTCAGGCGTGAGCTTATCGTTGACCTTTTGGATCGGGAACACGAGTCTGAAAGCACCGAAGAAGCTGGATGGGGAAGAAGCGGTGGCAGCAACCGCAAACGGAGATGCGTTTCAGCAGGCAGCCATACATGGTGAGGAAGTTGAGAGTGAGGGTGATGCATCTCATGAGAAGGATGCAAATATCGGGGGAGACTCAAAGAATACACACAGTTCATAAGGACCAGTGAGATATTTCACGATAAAAAGGCATATTAGCATCCTATTGTCTTGGCAGGAATATTGGAATACATCATGTGTAGAGCCTGATGACTTCATCACTTAGGAGTTTAGCGATCGTCCTCCAGCAATCTTAACATGGACTGCCTCCAAAACCAAAGTGAGAACCCCGCACACATGACTCGACATGAAAGTATCTTGTTATGTTACAATTTCTTAATATACTAATTGAAACTGAGTGCAACTACCTCGCAATTTGCTCGATTGCTGTTACTGTCAACGTAAAACGATGCGGAGACGAGAAGACTTCGCATTGAGGCGATCCACCAGGGTACACAAAAGATTGATGCCTGGAATACACAAGACATTTTTTAATGATATAACGAACAGTTTCCTATAGGATTTTCAGAGTTCCGAGTTCGGTAGGTTGCAGTGTGGCCCCACAAAAACCCACGTCTTATCAGCAACCCCAGATTAGTGTGCCCAAGCCGTCGTAACACCTCCCTTTCGGGGCAACTTTCTACTTGCGGATTTTTCCAAGCCGATAACTTTACACCTTCCTACGATAACATGATAACGTCACGGCCGATCCAGATCGCGGCCGTACGCTGGACGATCATCGTGAACGACGGCAGGGTATAGCATGCGTCTATTGCGTAACAACTTCACGGGTGAGAACAGCCGATGTTCCAGCTACGAGATACGAAAACTGAGGGGTTGTTCGCTGCTATCAAGTACTTAGACTCACTTTGGAAAACCTGAAAAGGATTGTCTCAATCACCACCTAGCTATTGTATCGTCTACTTTCGAGATACCTTCGTAGTACCATTGTAACAAATCATCATCATGCCTGAAGTCTACGCTGCACCACAAGAATACGCCTTTCCTCGAAATTTCAAGGGATATGGCGAAAAGGGCCTTGAGGGGTTGAAATGGCCAAACAACGCAAAAATAGCCGTCTCTTTTGTCATCAACTACGAAGAGGTGAATCCAAAAATCCAAAACTACCACTTCACATATACTGACTGACGAATCAGGGTGGCGAGCGCTCAGTGATGAAAGGAGACGGAATGTCTGAAATCAATCTCCGCGAATATCCCGCTCAACCAAGAATCAACGAGCGGGACTACAGCGGCGAATCCGAATTCGAATACGGCTCACGCAGCGGCTGGTGGCGCATGTTCAAGCTCTTCAACGACTACAACATGAAATTCACACTCTACGCCGTCGGCTCAGCCGTCGAAGAGCAACCGGAAGCTGTCACGCGCTCCGTCGAAGAAGGCCACGACATCGCATCCCACGCCTACCGCTGGATCGACCACTCCAACCTCTCTGTCGAAGCCGAAAAGCAACACATCAGAGACGGCATCACCGCGCTAAAAAAACTCGCGGGTTACGCCCCTAAAGGCTGGTACTACGGCCGCCCTTCCCCCCAAAGCCGCGCCTTAATTCCTTTGGTCTACGAGGAAATGGGTGAAGAACTCCTCTGGGCCAGCGACACCTACGCCGATGATCTCCCTTACTGGACCGATCTTCCCCACGAGCGCAACAGCCTCAATCCAAAGGGCTGTCTCATGGTCCCCTACAGCTACGATTGCAACGACTTCAAATTCCACACTCAAGGCACCGGGTTCCGCAGCCCAGGCGCCTTTTACGAGCACCTCCAGAACGCATTTGATGTCCTGTATGAAGAGGGTGCGGCGGGCAAACCAAAGATGATGACGATTGGACTGCATTGTAGGATTATAGGAAGGCCGGGACGGTTTAAGGCGTTACAGGATTTTGTAAAGTATATTTCGGAGAAGGAGGGGGTTTGGGTGGCTACGCGGACGCAGATTGCAGAGGCGTTTAGGGAGCAGTTTCCTTACAGGAAGGGGGAGCTTGCATAGGGGTGTTGGGTTGTTCAATCAAAGTTTTTTTCGTGTTCACTATCCAGAGTTTGCTGGAGTGGTGTATATGTCCAGTTGGTGACCATGTGCAGATACGGATAAAACAATATTATCGACAGTCGTCTCCTTCTTAGACATTTATTTCCCTTCCGTTGCGAGTCTAAAAGTCCACAAGCGATGCCCGCAGCAGATACCTAACGACTCCAGACTTCACTCACCTATAACCCCCAAAACTCCACTGATTAATATCCACCATCCCCTCCCCATCCGTCTGCATCGCAGCATCCTGAATCGGATCCACACCATAGAACCCGGGGCCCTCCGCCGCCGTCCAACTCATCTCTGCCATCCCCCGTCCCATCCCATCCCCTCTCACCTCAACATTCTGCATATGCGTCTCCTCATCCCTCACCATCTCATTCCACATTCTCCACCCCTGCCACCCCCCAGGCGCCTCCTCATCAACCTCCATAAATGCCTCTTTGACCGCATCCGTCACCATATGCGACAGCGTCTGTTTACTCCCCCTCCTCCCTTCCGTCACCTCCTCATACCCCTTCCGTTGTTGCCCCAGACCCTGCAAACTCGGCTCCGCATCAACATCCAACTGCAGCGGCCTCGCACCACTCGCTCTCGACGTATTCGTAGCATTGACAACAGTCTTGAACAAACTACCAGACAACGCATCGAAAATATCACGATACTTCACTGCGCCCGGCCATTTCTCTCCGAAGATAGTTAGAATCTGTGAGCACGCGCGTGTCGCTTCGAGGACGTCGTAGGAGAAAAGCGTGCGGTCGCGCCAGATGCAATATATGAGCGTTAGACCGGCTACGAAGCACGAGTGCAGCGATATCATGGTGTAGGTTAGCGTTCTGTTCTGGCTGAGTCGCTTGTACGCGTTGCAGACGCAGGCGGCGGAGCGGGCGCACGTGATGAAGCGTGTGTCTGAAGTATCGAGGGTGGGCAGGAAGACAGTGAAGAGGAAGAGCATTGCTTTGTGGTATTGGACGCCGTAGAAGTCGCGGGCGTCGAGATAAGCACTTTCTGGGTCGTACATCCAGGTTATCTTGTTTTCCTTTTTGGGGGTTTGCGGACAGGTGCGGAGCCAGGTGTCGAGGTCGTTGCGGATGGAAGTCATTTTTTGGTCGAGTTTGGCGCGCTGTTCGAAGGTTCCGGCGAAGACGTCGCGGTCGACGCGGAAGACTGTTTTGTGGATTCGGGATTGGATTTGGTCGAGCTTGATGATGTGGATGAAGGGTTCGATGTTGGACCATTGGGTTTTGTGGGCTTCGGGGGCTTCTTGGTGCGTTAGAGTCCAGAATTCGGGGCTGGTGCTGGGAAGCTTCCAAAAGAGTCAGTTGATTCAAGCTTTATGATTTTCAGTTACTACTGGCATACCTCGACATTAATTTCCCGATCGGCAATGGCAAAGGCACGGCCAAGCACGATACTAGTCACTCGATCGAGACAGTAACACGACCAAAACGCTCGGCGTCGAATCTCAGCATCTCTCGCTTGTTCAGGAGAGTACACCACACTTCTCTTTCTGTGTAGTCCCATCTCTATACAGACGGACGTCGCATATCGGATCTGAGACCAGGCACCTGCTCCATATGGAGACCGCTGTCCATGTACCCCGAGCAGTATGAGAAACTGGACAGTTGCAAGATTATGTTGAGCTAATATATAATCCATGGGCTCTGTCGCGGCAGCAAGATGACTCTGAAACCGGTAAGAACAACACACTATTTAACACTCGTTTGACTTACTTCAGGATCAACCCCACATGGCTTCTGTGTCAAAGACAGGAAGCGAGCTGTGATGGCATACATGAGGTGAAAGATGCTGCGTTCAATGATAGACAAAGCACCTTGAACATACTGCTTCTCGAAGAGCTTTGTATAGATTACGCGGTCTAGTAATGGCCAACGTGTATGTATACGTTCGAAGAAGACATCAAACAGCACACGCGCCTGTTGCCTCTCGGGGAAATCAATGATATGGTCATCTGAATGCGAAGACTCAGGAGGCGGAGGTGGCCTTGCAGCTGTAGGAGTTTGAGTCGTCTGGTTAGCATGCTGGCTGGCGGCTCTCTTGCCAGAACTCCGAAAGATTGAAGATTGTATGATGCGAGCAATAGTAGCGCCAGAGCTAGAACCAACATAGTAGGGCTCAGAAGTCGTGTCGGTAGTTCCAGATGCACATAGAGAGAGGTAGGCTACGCCGTCAACAAGTGAAGTCCTATCTTCACCTTCGAGGTCATCCGAGAAATAGTCATCTCGAGATTCGCGGCGGGATTCATTTGACTGAAATTGAGAAACTGAAGGATCTTCCGTAGCTGTAGGAGGCACAACGTGAACCATATCCGAGCCATTGTCATAATGATCCGAAGCATGGTCCGGAAGACGAGCTTCCAGAAAGGCAATGCGTTCTTCCAAGGCAGTTATATAACTGACTAGTTAGTCAGATACCCAACACATAAATTTTTAAAAAAGCATTTGGGTAAAGGACCTACGCCGACTTGCCACCAGGGTATTGGGGCCGCAGGGTTCTCTCGTATGCACAAGCTACGCCAGCTCGTTCGCACGACCTGCATACTGGACGCGCGCCGTCGCACTGCAAGAGGCTTAGTCAAGAGGTACTGTTGTGAAATCCTCAAATGACGTACTCGTTGCTTTCTCCGCTTGCATCTCTTGCAGGCCAAGGCGACTCGAGGCTTCCTCTGCGCACCTGCACTCGTGCTATTCGATGGAATCTCAATAGCAGTAGAGGATGCAGGTATCTGATCGTCGGCTGATCCAGAGGGGCTCAGGAGGCTCTCTGCGTAGGATTGCGACATGACCTTTTCGGTTTGAAATTACCACAGTGTATAGTAGTCGAGAGCCCTGGAATCATCGGCCCCAACATCGCACTACGTCTTCGGATGCATTGCGCCTTTCACGTGCGACGATCACTCAGGGCACACGGCATGCACAAGCCGAAGTGTATCTTATCGTGATTCCTTCAAGAGTGGGCAAGATAAGTCATGTGACCTTATCTCGGCTGCAGCCTTCCTCTTGGTCGCGGAGACTGTTGACCAGATCGGTAACACTGACGTTCGCTACCACAACGACGTCGCATGCTTACACTATATTCCTATCTCAGCCCCTGTTCTTTATCGCATCTTCGGGGGCTTGGAAGCAGCTCGCACATCTAAGGCAGCATGTTACATCGGCTGAAAATGCGCCGATAGAGGCGATGGTAAGGGGTCTGGCCAGTTCTAACTCACCATTGGTGTGTGGACTGCATGAACTATCTGGAGTCGGAACAAGCTTAATCAACTCGACATATGAGCGGCCATGATCCACAGATGTAAAGATGAGGACAGACTGCTTTTTGCGAATACTCAGGCCTGTCTATTCAGACCACGACTGAATCCACCATGGGCAAATTCGAAATGTCAACGAAGCGGCGGATGGTAGCACCATTCCAGTCAAAGGAAGCTTTTGTCGACTTTCTCAGGGCTCCTCGTGTCAACGACGGTCATATTCCCATCGGAGATGAGAAATGGTCGAATAAAGATCTCGAGCCAACGCCAGTCGAACAGAGGACTTGGACTTGGTACAGTCTGCCTCTGTACTGGTTTTCCAACAAATTCTCCCTTGTCGGTTGGAATACTGGCTCTTCACTCGTGGCCGTTGGTCTGGTACGTTATCCGGCAAGACTACTCATAGAACGTAGACTAATAACATATGTAGACATGGCAAACATCCTTCGCGTCAGCATGTGTTGGCTCTCTACTCGCGGCCATAGTCGTCGTTTTGATGGCTCGTCCGGGTGCTAAATACCATATCGGATTGTAAGTATTAATCTCGCACGCATCCTCTACTTTGGCTTATCATGCGCAGTCCCGTCCTTGCACGTTCCGTCATGGGCATGTATGGTTCCTACTTCTTCATCTTCATCCGAGCCATTGTCTGCATCATCTGGTATGGCATCCAGACCTTTTACGCCGGTAACCTCTTATCCGTGATGCTACGCTGCATCTTTGGCAGTTCCTGGGAAAACCTGCCGAACACGCTTTCGCCAGGTGCCGCCGTGACATCGAAGCAGCTGTTGACCTTCTTCATGGCTTGGCTTATGGAATTCCCTTTCATGTGGGTTCATCCGACCAGCATCCACTACGTTTTCACCGTTAAGGGAATCATCATGCCTATTGCAGCTTTTGCGGTTTTCGGCTGGTGCATGGCAAACGGCGGCGGACTTAACTCCATGGATCTTGCTCACAAGACGAGTAAAGCTTCCTCGTCTATTCCTATGGGTTGGAGTGTCATGGCTGGTATCAACACCATCTTCGGTGCATTGTCGCCCATGCTGGTAAACCAGCCCGATCTTGCCCGCTACTGCAAGAAGCCTCGCGATGCAGGTTATCTCCAGGGCGTCAGTGTGTTCGTCTCTGCCATCATCGTCTTTTTCCTCGGTATGGCTTCAACGACATCAATGCAATCAGCGTACGGCGTAGCGTACTGGAATATTTGGGATCTCTTCGACGCTATACTCGACCATCACTTTGGCGCTGGCGCACGCGCAGCAATCTTCTTCGCCTCATTGGCATTCTACTTCGGAGTTTTTGCGACAAACTTTGGGGCAAATTCTATTCCGTTTGGCTCAGATATGACTGGTCTATTCCCCAAATGGCTCACTATCCGCAGAGGACAGATACTATGTGCTCTACTTGGAGTCGTTGTGCAGCCATGGCAGCTCATGGCTAATGCGTCTGCTTTCCTCAGGTAAGACAGCTGCAGAGGTCACTAGTTTGCTGCAGAAGAAAATGAAACTAACAATTGAACAGCTTTCTTGGATCTTACAACATCTTCATGGCTCCTCTCTGCGCCGTCTTGATTGTCGATTACTTCGTCGTGCGCAAGGGTAACATCCACGTTCCCTCGTGCTATGACGGCAGAAAAACAGGCCTATATTGGTTTTGGTCTGGAATTAACTGGTGTGGAGTGGTCGTCTGGATACTAGGGACAACCATGGGTATCCCAGGTCTCATCGGCCAATACCAGCCGCAGATCATTTCCATGGCCGCACAGAATATGTACCGTATGGGATGGATCTTGACCTTTACCGTTGCAGCCACAGTTTATTACGTCACATTTCTCTTCATCAAGCCGCGCGTATTTCCTGTTGGACGCGAGAGCACGCCGTATGAGTGGGAGTGGTTGGGTAACGACGGCCGTGAGGGATTTTTCGAGGGAGAGGGAGATCGTGGAGAGATTTACGTTGCTACTACACCGCCCATGACAGACGCAGGGGATGATATTGAGGTTGGAGGCAAATCGCCGAAGGTGAATTATTGAGCTGTAGGGAGGAACTTCGTTATCAATGCTGTACGTAGTTATGTTGTGTGATGATATCATTAAAAGTATCGTAAACAATACTTTCTCTAAAACTACAGACATCCACTTTGCGCATACCAATCATTCCATTACATACCTCCTCCCTCAATCGTGAAAAACAGCTCCATACCCAATACCCTTGCTCCACAGAAAACCCCAAATCGTCTCCACTGCGATGCTTCCGTATCTGGTAAGAGAGAAAGTTGGAGGTGTGTGTTCGGAATACAATCGTCCGATAAGCGGGACGACCGTTATCGGCCGTCATCGCACTTGTACTACCACTAACGCCTCGATAGGGAAATCCGCACGTCGTGACCGACGGATCACACGGTGTATCTGGCGGCTGCCTATCATATCAAGCGGAGCACCTGGGCCGAGGATAACAGTCTCGGCACGATTTTCTTTAATATACATTTGTTAAGCATAGGTGTATTGTTTGAAATGGAAAAGAGAAATCATTTCATCGTTTCTTAACTTCCAGAGTCGTTGCTTCCCTGTAGTTGAAAGTTATTATTGTGACCTGGGATATAGCGATACGTTCAACAACATGAGTTCCGAACTCTACCAGCTGACAGCCACAGAAGTGGCAAAGAGAATCCAGCAAGGAGAAGTTACAGTAGAAGAATACGCAAAGTCGCTGTTGAAGCGCATCGAGGCACGGGACAAGGCCGTCAAAGCATGGGCGTATCTCAATCCCGAGTACGTGATTGAGCAGGCAAAAGCACTAGATGCTGTCCCAAAAGCTGAGCGCGGCCCGTTGCACGGCGTTGCAATTGCTGTAAAGGATGTGATTTACACAAAAGGTGAGTTTAATCTAAATCTTTTTCGTTGGACCTTGGCTGATGATTTGTAGATATGCCGACACAATTCAATTCACCAATTTACACCAACGATGCACCAAAAGTAGATGCCGGATCCATTGCTATACTGCGCAAATCCGGTGCGCTTATATTCGGAAAGACGACAACGACTGAATTTGCTGCAACAACCATAGGCCCCAAGACGTGCAACCCGCACGACTCGAATCGCACGCCTGGTGGCTCTTCATCAGGGTCTGGGGCTGCGGTGGGCGACTTCCAAGCACCTATCGGTTTAGGTACACAAACGGGCGGCAGCACTATCCGGCCCGGTTCGTACAATGGAATCTATGCTCTGAAGCCTACGTGGAATTCAATCACGCGCGAAGGACAGAAGATTTACTCGCTAATACTCGACACACTTGGCCTCTATGCTCGTAGTGTAGCGGACCTAGAGCTGCTCGCTGATACTTTTGCTATCCACGATGACGCCCCAGTCCCATCGGATTTCACTGTCAAAGGAGCAAAGTTTGCGATTCTCAAAACCATGGTTTGGCCACAAGTAGGACCGGGTACTGTTGCTGCGCTCGACAAAGCCGTTTCTCTACTACGCGCGCATGGAGCTGAAGTAGAGGATATTACACTGCCGGAGCACCTCAATGATCTCCCATCATGGCATGCGACAGTGCTGAACTCGGATGGCCGGACAGCGTTTTTGCCTGAATACACAGTGGCCAAGGACAAGATTTCAGAGCAGTTAGTAGGACATGTAGAGAACAGCGGAAAGATTTCGCGCAAGGAACAACTGGAAGCGTTTGATAAGATAGCAGCAGCAAGGCCGGTGGTAGATGAGCTGCTTGAGAAGTATGCCGCGGTGCTGACGCCAAGTGTGCCTGATGAAGCGCCACTGGGTATCGAGAAGACTGGCAGCGCGGCATTTTGTTTGATATGGACGGTAAGTTTTGTTTACGTACTCTAGCTACAAGAGTCGTTATTGATCTAGAGACAGGCGCTGCATACACCGGTGGTCAACGTGCCGGGCTTCAAGGGGCAGAATGGCATGCCGATTGGCATCTCGCTCGTGGCACCGCGATACCATGACAGACGGTTACTGGCAGTGAGCAAGGAAGTTGGAAAGATATTTGAGACCGAGGGTGGATGGCAACGGTCGGTGTAGGTAGTTGGCTGAATTAGTGTATATAGATGGAAAAAATGTCTACGTATGTATATTTTGCAATCCACACACACTGGGACTGACTTTCAGAAGATGGCCTATCAAGTTGGAAATAATACGGAAATTAAATGGAACTCATTAAAATCCCTGACCGCGATTAGGAGTGTGCATAATCACAAGATATTAGGACAGGTGTAGACTTCCTGTAGTACCAAAGTCAATCACTATGCCGTATCGAGTCTAGTACACTAATCGCGACGCGTCTACATCATCGATACGCGTCTCTCTCGTCGCGACCCATTTCCCCTCAGCAGTCGCCAATTTCACCCCAATTTCTTCCTTTCTAGTACTTTTGGCTTTTTTTCTACACATTCGTTCGCTACACCACATAAATACCATGCCTCTAACCACTTTACCTTCACTTCCCGAGCCCATTTTACACCTAATTTGCATCTATCTCACACCCGATCGCCCCAGCGTCAACGACCCCGAAAATGGCCAATCACTCACACTTTACCGCCCGATAATAAGCCTTTCACTGACCGCACATGCCCTAAATCGCATCTCATCAACCCATATCGCGACAAACATGAGCCTGACATGGGGCACCGTCCGCTGGGACCTCTTTCTCCGCACCGTCCACGAAAACCCAGTCTATGCATCCACCGTCAAGTACCTCAAGCTCAGCGAACTCAGCTTAGACGAGCAAGACTTGATCAGACCGACAAAGTGGCAAGGCGGACCGGAAGATCTCACGGAAATGTTCAAAGTACTATGTGGCTTGGAAACGCTCTACTCGTCGCACAGCAGGCTACTCTACCCCGGTTCTATTATCTATCGCCTTACGTCTGAAGAAATGCCGTTGTGGAAGACGCTCAAGGTCGTGCGATTCGACCATATCAATGTCTGGGGCGAGGACCGCATTGTGCAATTGAACCTGCATCGGGAACGCAGAGAAGATGAAGACGGCAAAGTGAGGAAGTACACGGTGAGAAATGGACTGCTTACTGGCTCTCTGGCGCGCTTGAGCATCCAGGAATTTCACAAGATACCGGAGGTCACGAACGTGGTTGTTACTACGCGCGATTTCGAAGACGATGGAGATACAGAGGGGGATGCGGATTGGGTTGATAGGGGTGCGGAGGAGGATGAAGGAGAGGAGTGGAGTGATGATGATGATTATGAGTATGAGAGCGAGGATAGCGAGTGGGATTCGGAAGATGATAGCGATTACGAGGATGATTGGGAGGCGGAGTATGGATTCAGTGTGCCTAGCGCTCAGTCTGTGAAGGAGGAGCTGCCGACGCCGGTCGTTGGTTTGTCTGCTCCAGGGAAGAGTTTGCTGGATTTTTGAGGTGAAAGGATGGGTGTGCGTTTTATGTGGCATATGTTTTAGAGGGGTTCAACATGTATATTAGTAAATTTATCTTGTAGTAGGTTTAATCGACTGGACTTGACTAAGTCCTTTGTAAAACAGACACCTTATTCGGTTCTACCCCATCCCTACAAACCCTCATTACCACTTCCCTCAGACACACACCCCGTTCAAGTCGGCCTAACAAACCTGACCATCACCTTCGGAGCCCCTGCGGTGAAATGATCCTTGATACCCTCCCAATAAGCATTCACATCCACCCCCTTATCAAGCCTAACATCAAACTCTGCAATCACTCTCCCCACCACACTCCTCAACTCCATCATCGCCAGCGCCTTCCCCGCACAACTATACGGCCCCGTCGAAAACGGTATAAACGCCGCTCTATTCCGCACAAGCTCCGGCCGCGTAGTCCAGCGCTCCGGGATAAACTCGTCAGGCGCAACAAAGTTCCTCGTGTCGCGGAACAGCGGGAACAGCGGGATATGCACAATCGTGTTTCCGGGAATGAAGTGGCCGTTGATGTCCATGCCCTCGGGCGGCGTGACGCGCTGGGAACCGAAGAAGACGGATGGCCATATGCGCAGCGACTCGTAGATTACAGCTTCGAGCAAGGGGAGTGGGTGTTGGCAGTCGTAGCTGTGGGCATTGGCGAGGAACTCTGTGCGGATGGCGATCATGTAGTGTGGGTGTGTGGCGAGGTGCATGAAGATGAAGGTTAGAGCTGTGGATGTTGTTTCACTGCCTGCGGAAATGATGAGGCGCGATTCGCCGAAGAGGAGTTCGCGGCCTTCGATGGTCTTGGGCGTGGAGGCTATAAGATGCGAGATCAAGTCTGGTCTTGCGTCTCGAACCTGGAGAAGCGTTAGTAATGGTTGGATTTGAGGGGGGCGTGGTTCATCGCGTGCATAATACGTACTTTCATTCGTGCACGCATTTGGCTGACGCTCCAGTCTCGCCATTCTTTCATGGGCCCGGTAAACGAGGTAAGTACTCCGATTGTGTTCATGAGCCACGGCATGTGATACATGTATCCCAAGGCTTGTACGCTATTGGTAAACGTGGCAAGGATACTTGCAGCAACATCGCTCTGCTCACCCTTGATGAAGCCCATGGGCTTGCCAAAAGCCAGTGCCGCCATGGTATCGTAGCTGTAGTGTGAAGTATATTCTGAGAGTCGAATGAGCTGTCCTTCTTCGCTGCGAAGCTTTGCAAGTAGCTGATTTGTGAAATGTTCAACCTCTGGAGCATAGGTAGAAAGTGACGTCTTGAACGCATTATCCCAGAGTCGGCGTCGCTGGCGATGAAATGCCTTGTCGCGATTCAGATGCAGCGACCTCTCCATGACATCGAAGAACGGTCCTTTGGTAGTTTTTGACCGGGTCCCGAGAATAGGTTGGATTGCGTCTGCATCGAATATGGTAAGTTCACGTGGTCCTGTTTTCGATCAGCATTGCATTTGGAAGGAGGTACCAATCTTAACCGACCTGTCCTAACATAATCGCCATATTGCGTTTGGAGCTTTTGTAGTACCCTGTGGTAGTGCAAATCGCTATCCCATGTCTGTTTGATTGTCCACCATCGCGAGAGCTTTGCCCCCCAGGGTCCTGGGTAGTCTTTCAGGGGATGGAAGAAAGCGCGGTAGGCTCCTATGTACAACCATAGGGGTACCCAGAAGAAGCTCGTCACCAATGTCGCTGCGATAAAACCCGTGTAATATACGAGGATCCAATAAGTTGTAATCGCTGAGCCAATGATTGGAAGGGCCAGATGATCAACTTCCACTTTGCGCAGGACAGACTCGTGCAAGATGACAGCCGAGAGCGATACGAACACAAGGATAATAGTGGAAACCGACTCCATGGCTCGTTACGGGCAAAGCTCCGGTGGTGCGTGGGGCTGATGGTGTTGCGATGAGTTGAGTGTTCGTAGCAACAAACAAACAATGAAGGCGATAGCCGATATACAATCGCTCCTTCACTAATGAAGTCAATTGCTACTTTCTCATTTCATTAGCTGTTTGACATATTAATGAATGCAAACAAAATATACCAGTAGACAATCCAAGATACGCCTCTTCGCAGATCCAGCAGGGTAGTTGGTCGTGCAAAACGTGGAAGAGGAGAAAATGTAACGTATTTGCTCCAGGGACCACAGTCACACGTGGCGGCAACCTGTATGAGATATTGATCGGTAGTCCCGACAGCTGAACCAGGGTCTAATCCATTTTCCTGGGTAGTCTGCTCGTCAGACTGCATGTTTGTGTTAGTGTCTCCCACAAACGGCATCTTTCCGCATGCTTTGCGGCTGACTCCACATGATGACCAAAAGCGTTGCGCTGCCGCGCTTCGTCGTACACCATCGCACATTATCGCACACTATCACACAGAATTCACTAGTGACTCGCGTTTGGCCAGGCTTGCAACTTGTCGATAACCGTGAAATTTTCTAGCGGTCCCAATTCATCCATTTTTCAGCAAAAGCAAACTAGCTCGTGGAACCCTTATTCTCCGGATATGGTCTTATTGGTCAGCATAGGGGAGTGGAGCCGCTGGCAATGTGCTCCAACCCATGATATGTAATCTCAGCACGTAAACCAGTCAATAACCGAATAGGCGATGTAATGGCTTGCGCGACAGTTATCCTTTCCATGTAGGAACCCAGGTGTTTGCAGCGACCAGTAATAAAGTGACCAGGTCCACTTGGGGCAGCTGCATAATCATGGATATCATTGAATTCTTGCGTCGTCATGGCAGCTCTGTCAATACTTCTACGCATTCACTACCAGAAAGAAGTATTGGAGAAATGCACATTCGTAAGCGGCTTGCTAGTTACTGCGTCTTATGGTTTCACTGTTGAACATGAAAGTTACACGAGCCATGGTCTTCTGAGTTTCACGGTGGTGAAATCGGTGGAAAGGTAACTCAAGCTCCCCACAAAGATAAGTTTGCTGTAGATCCGGGGGTATGGCCCAGCTCCTAGAGGGTTCGCTTCTGTTTTGTATACTCTATCTCTTTTTCCAATCCCCGGAAGTTCTTTTGGTGGTGTGATGAGTTCTGACAGGACAAAAGTGGGCGTTTTGCCTGTGCCTGATGATGGTAATCAAGACTTGGACGGGAAGACTGACCTTCAGAGGAGAATCATTGTGGTATATGTGGTTATGACAATCTTCTCGTCCATGGTACTTGGATTGCGGCTGTATACGCGCACCTTCATTCGTCGCTTGACTGGATTGGACGATGTGTTGGTAGTTCTCAGCTGGCTAGGGTGTGTCGCATGGTTGGTAATATGCTTCGAAGGTACAATCTCTGGCACTCATTCGTCAACTGTAACTGACATACCTGTAGCATTTCAATACGGCTTCGGCCAGCATCTGTGGAATGTGACCGTCGAACAGCTGCAAGTCTACACAAAGATGCTCGTCGGCATAATGGTAGTCTATGTCTGGACGCCTGCGCTCGCAAAGCTCTCGTTGCTAGCACTCTACTACCGTCTTAACCCGGATTTTAAGATTCGCTCCTGTATCTACGCGTTAGCAGGTCTTGTATCTGGATATTCGCTAGCAATCACCATTGTCGCTGCCGGCCCATGCAATCCACAATATCATAGCGACCAGAAGTGCCTCACTGACCTTAACCTTTTCATGGCATGCATCAACATTATCACAGACTTCTTGATCCTGTGCCTACCAGTACCGATGTTACGCGCCTTGCAGCTGCCGATGAAACAAAAAGTCTTGCTGGGATTAGTGTTCGCGTTGGGATCCGGGTAAGGACATGCACACATCCACAGTCTCCATATGGTCCTATGCTAATATTGCTAGCGTGGTTGTCATCTCCACCGTTCGTATCATTTACGTCTACAGTATGATCAGCGATCCCGACTCGACTTATAATATCGCCAAAGCTTGTATCTTCTCCACGATTGAACTCAATGGTGGCGTCATTTGCGCATGTGCGGCGCTTCTGAAGCCCTTTATACAACGGCATATGCCATGGATACTATCTCTCTCGAGTGGAAATGGAAGTGGGAATCGATCCAGAGTTCGGAAATTCAAGATGTTTAAGAAGCACAGCAATGGGGGAAAGTTTGAGCTACGTAGCACAAACGCAGAAAAAGACGCGCGCAAGCAGGCCAACAATAAACTGAATCGTCAAATCGAGGTGACCAGATCTTACAGTGTTCGAGATTCGAGGACGGGGAAAAACAACGGCGACAGCATGGATGATTTGTTTGCACCAACTGCCGGCTGGAACGGGGGCCGGTAGCTCCTTGTGGATTGGAAGGGCTGTTCCAAGGGACCGTGTGTAAATTGTACTGGCCGACGATTCCAGATGAATCTAGAGGCAATATTAAGGACTAATTATGAAAGGGCAGAATTCCAGTAATGCATTCTCATTTGCCAGAAGATCATCAAATCGACAGTGTGACGAGGTTGAGGGAAGATGTCAAATGGCTGGCATAGAGTAAATGTCAGACGATGATTGGAGTCTTGGCGCACTGCGGAGGAAAGGGGTTATCGCGACCAATGTGTGTTGAGGTGGTGGTGTAACCAGCATAGACTCTGCTCAGAGCAATGTCTTTGCTGCAGCTTCGGTTCTCATAAGCCTAAGACTGGATTAATAGCCATAGTCGAAAAACAGGGATTGTTTCTCGTTCCAAGCAACAGCTATGAAGCGCACGAGCCGTATGTTAGCATGCCTGAGAGCACAAGTAATATTTCTCACATTTACACCACTTGTGAGTTCCAGACTTACCAATTATACGGGCGCACATTCTATTGCAATTTTGACTAAGAATATATCACCGGGGTATCAATTTACTATGAATCCGCTGACAAGAACCATACTACCGTTGAAACCGCCAGGAAGCCCTAAGAGTCCAAGTCTGCTCTTAAGTTTGGACGCCCACGAGCAATGGCATCGCCCAGATCCAGGTTGGAGGCCTGGCCGCGAATATTAGATATGAAGCGTCGCCCGCCATCCATGTTTTGTTTGTGCTTTGCTTCCTCTTCTGCATCCTTAATCTCCTGCTGTCGGACTCGTTCAGCCCGCTGCTCCTCTAGCGATGCCGCCTCTGCTTGCATACTAGCAAGACGATCAGCTGCACTTTGGCGGGCT